ATTGTCACCCTTCTGGTGCTATAATTAATAGATCCAGACATTACGCAAATATGCCCCTTTTTTTGAGACAGGGTCTCACTCTGTCACCCAGGCTGGGGGGCAGTGGCAGTGGCAGCTCACTGCAACCTCCATCTCCTGGGCTCCAGCTACCCTCCCACCTTAGCCTCCAAAGTAGCTGAGATTACAGACCTTTGCCACCATACCAAGCTATTTTTTTTAAGTTTTTGGAGAGATGGGGTCTCACTATGTTGCCTAAGCTGTCTCAAATTCCTGGGCTCAAGCAGTCTTCCTGCCTTGGCCCTCCCAAACTACTGGGATTATAGGTGAGAGCCACCAAGCTCAGCCTTATATATGCCTTTCTATAAACATAATTTTCCTCTTAGTAGTCTTGTAAACTTTTTTGGAAAACCATTTTCCCCCTTTCAGCTGAACCAGGATGAAAGGATTTTCCCCACCTTAACCAGGCTGGGGAAGGAATCTGGTACTAACCCAGTGGTTATTATGGAAATGGCAGCATCTGACTTAGCTCAGGACCCAGGAGATCTGATGGAACCAGGGAAAGATTTTTTTTTTTTAAAGGAAGTTGAGCACCCAAGAGAGAGAAAGAGACAGAGAAAGAAAGATAAAACAACCACTGGATAATTCTCTTTCAGATATCCTCTCATCAAAATACTTCAATTCATATGGCTGATGTTGTACCCCTCTTTTTCATCTGGCACCTGAATCAACTTTAAATGACTCATCTTTGAGGAGGAGAAGGAGGAGAGAAAACACAACAGAAACTTCCATATCCAAGCTGTCCTTTTCCTTTTCTTACACTCAAATGTAAAAGAGATATTTGTTCCCCAAATTGACTACTACAGGCAAGGTCTAGAAGAATGTTTAACCAACTTTTTGCTGGCTTCTTGTCAGCTTTGGACATAAATAACCCTGATATTCAAGGAAAAACCATCTGAAAAGTAAATAAACAGACCAGTTTTACAGCTCCAGACAAACCTCCATTCATTTTTCCCTTTGTTCCACAGAATTTTTTTGAGCACCCTGTCCAAGCCAGGCATGTGCTAGGTGCCTTGGATAACTTACTGACTCAAAAAGGGAAATACCCTATCGTATTAAGTTTTTATTATCAAACTTCAGGCAAGACTGCGGAATAAATATTAAAGTTAAACATGATTTCAAAGAGATCAAATTGTTTATGGGTCTATTTCAACAGCTTTAAAAAAACTGGACATGCAGCTAACAAGTAATGGAGCCTATAGTCAAGCCAGACTCCACAGTCAGTAGTATCCTTAATCACCACTGTCTCTTGATGAATAAACCAAACACACATTGGGCAGAGTAGAGACCTGTCTGTAAAATGAATAAATTTTGTCATGAGTCATCATTTCTTTTTATTTTATTAGCTTTGCAAGGATTAGATCAGACTGATGGATTTTCTTTAAGGAAGCACCGCCACAGTCCCTGGAAGCCAGAATCAAATATACAGCAAAGCTAAGCTGCTGAGGCCTTGCCCATCACAGTTTAAAGCCACTATAATTTTCTGCATAACGACAGAACCACCAGTGTACATTCAACAGCATAAATCAACAATTATATCCATACATGTGAAAATTCAGCCTATCCTTTAATTCTTTCCTAAGCTGAACTGTCAATTATTGACTGTGGCTTTAAAAATCAGGATAGTTCAGTAGCTGGTTGAGTGACTAGCTAAACCACCCTTCAGGAAAATTGAATTAGTTAAGAGAAGAAAAGCAGTAAGACTTGCAGAACTGAATAGTGCCTTGGAGGTTACCTGATTCAACCTTTTCCCCTTAGCCTGGACACACACACACACACACACACACACACACACACACACAACACCTGTCCAGGACCAAAATCCAAATGTCTTGACAATGTAATGTCTTTTGAAGGTTCATAAGCCACTATATATCTTCCAAATCCTTTCTTTTCTTTCCACTTCTCCTGGCAGCAAGCATCACATCTTTGAGACTTCTTGCCTCCTAAAAGGTGACTTGCGTCCTGGCTTACCCTAACACTGCTAGAATATTTGTAAAGCTTGATTTTGACATTTTACCTCCTCTGTTCAAAAAATCTTCCATGTCTCCTATTACTTAGGAAATAACAAAATCATTTGCCCAGCATCCAAAGCCCTCAATCATCCGATTCTCTTTCTTTCCTTTCCATTTCCCTTTAATGTAATCCTTAATCCCATCAATTCAGCTACTCACCCTTCTTTGTGTGTATTCCCTGAGTTTTCTTGCCTCTCTCCCTTTGCTCCTGCTGGTCCTTCTCTCCTGCATCTCCGCCCTGGATATCCAAATCAAATCTCATTCAAGTCCCAGCTCAAATGCCAATAAAACTTTTTCAGAGCCCTCTCAACTAGGAGTCATCATCACTCTGTTTTTCTTTTCCATATTTTATCACAATCATGGACAGTTAATCTCTTCCCACTAGACTGTAAGCTTCTTAGGGGAAGGAACATGCTTAATTTCTCTCTTCATTGCCACCATAGTACCTTGCCCTTAAATATTTGTTAGAATGGTAAATTAATGAATATATTAAGAACAATGCATCTTTTAAGGTGTGTGTGTGTGTGTGTGTGTGTGTGTTTTGTTTTGTTTGAGACGGAGTCTTGCTCTATCGCCAGGCTGGAGTGTAGTGGCAGGATCTCAGCTCACTGCAACCTCTGCTTTCCGGGTTCAGGCAATTCTCCTGCCTCAGCCTCCCAAGTAGCTGGGACTACAGATATGTACCACCATGCCAAGCTAATTTTTTTTTTTGTATTTTTTTAGTAGAGGTGGGGTTTCACCATGTTGGCCAGGATGTTATGTTCTCCATCTCTTGACCTTGTGATGTTTTTTAAATCTACCAATGATGCTAATTATACCTTTTGTTTTTAACTAGGAAGAAATAAACATAAATGACTGTGAAAAGACTGCCTTTAAAATAATTTTCCATTTTTAAAATTATTTTATTTATATCACAGATACAGAATGGCCTGAAAATGTTCCCTCTAATATCTATTCTAATATATATACACACACACACATGTGTATATATATGTGTATATATATGTATGTGTGTGTGTGAGTGTGTGTGTGTGTGTATATGTATTTGAGATGGAGTCTCGCTCTAAAGCCCAGGCTGGATTGCAGTGGCACAATCTCAACTCACTGCAACCTCTGCCTACCGGGTCCCAGTTAAAGCAATTCTCCTGCCTCAGCCTCTGAAGTAGCTTGGATTACAGGCACTAACCACCATACCCACCTAATTTTTGTAGTTTTTAGTAGACACAGGATTTCACCATGTTGGCCAGTTGAACTCCTGACCTCATGATCCACCTGCCTCGGCCTCCCAAAGTGCTGGGATTACAGGCATGAGCCATGACGCCCGACCCTAAAATATTGGTCATAAAAGTCTTTAAATTTGGCTGGGCATGGTGGCTCACACCTATAATCCCAGCACTTTGGGAGACTGAAGCAGGCGGATCACGAGGTCAGGAGATTGAAACCATCCTGACCAACATGGTGAAACCCCATCTCTACTAAAAATACAAAAATTAGCTGGGCATGGTGGCTCATGCCTGTAATCCCAGCTACTTGGGAGGCTGAGGCAGGAGAATCGCTTGAACCCAGGAAGTAGAGGTGGCAGTGAGCTGAGATCGCACCACTGTACTCCAGCCTGGCAACAAAGTGAGACACTGCTTAAAAAAAAAAAAGTCCTTAAATTTGTTAATCATAAGACAATAATACTTTAGAAAGAAAAGATCTTGAGAAGTCAACTCATTCAATCCCCACTCCCAACCCATATATAAAATATCTCAGGAAAGTAAGAATTCATCCTATCTTAAGGATCTCCTAAGACAAATTGCACAGAATTCTTGGTATTTCATCTAAATGTCTCTTGAGCTTCCCTGTCACAGTGTTACTCCATAATAAGTTAAATATTGAGTGACTTGTGCTATTATTTCTTCTGTTGAGAGGTAGTATCACATAGCGGTTAAGACACAATTCTGGGATTACAGGTATGAGCCACTGCGCCCATGTGACACAAAGTTTCTGAAGTCAGACTTCCTCTCTGCCATTGGGAAAGTTATTTAACCTTTCTTTGCCTCAGCTTCTTCATCTGCAAAAGGGAATGATAATAGTACTTATTCATAGAATATTTAAGAATATTAGATAAAATCATATATGTATTTAGAAAAGTGTCTAAAACCAGCTGGTTGGGCATGGTAGTTCAAGCCTATAATCCAGTACTTTGGAAGGCCGAGGCAGGCAGATTGCTTGAGACCAGGAGTTTGAGACCAGCCTGGGCAACATGGAGAAATCCTGTCTCTACTAAAAATACAAAAATTAGCTGGGTGTGGTGATGCACACCTGTAATCCCAGCTACTCGGGAGGCTGAGGCACAAGAATTGCTTGTACCCCGAAGACGGAGGCTGCAGTGAGCTGAGATCACACCACTACACTCCAGCCTGGCAACAGAGCAAGACTATGTCGCAAAAAAAAGAAAGAAAGAAAGAAAGAAAATTTAAAAAAGAAAGGAAGGAAGAAAAGAAAAGAAAGAAAAGTGTCTGAAACCTAGTAAATGACATATAAATGTTGCTATTAAAATGTTTTCTTATTTTATTTTGATACAGATAGATAATAGCTGGATACTTAGTCTTTCATACATGAAAATTTTAAATAGCATTTTTCTTGGCTGAAGAATCAAGTTCCTTTGTGCTATTATTTAATAATCAGATGAATTTTCTAATCTTTACAAAAGTCTTTTGGCTCTTCATCTTGGTGCAGTAAAGAGGGTCGTTTTGGTATTTTGCTTTTACAGCAGAGATCTTTGAACCAAGCCTCTAGAAGTTTTATCTATTTAACACCTAACTTCATACTAGGCACAACAGGCATATAACGTTGCATAAGATTGGCAAGGGTCCTGCCTTCATGGAGCACACCAGTTTTGCTCATAGAAACAAACTTTTTACCATTAACCAAATCACTTACCACTATTTCGAATTCTTTCTTCCAATAGGTCAGAATGCCCAGATGGAAGTTTCTTATTGAAAATCTCAGCTGAACGAAGGAACATAGCTTCAACTGCAGACCCTTTCAGCAAAGCAATCTGGTCTTCATGGTCCAAAGTTTGAAATCCTATGTAACGGCGATAATCAAATTGGCATCAAGAAGTACCAATATTTTATAATCACCATCATTGCCCTTTGATAAAACATTTTCATCAGGTGATTTTGTAGTTGTTTTGCAATTGGGTAGTCTAGTTGAGTCCATTTGTACTCACCAACAAAATAGAGGCTTTGTTTATATTGGGCAGAATTTATTAAACAAACTGGGCAAGGGAAATGTCAAGTCCAAGCAGATGCTACATTATGGCATAGACAGACTGATTCTGATGGAGAAACGCTCAGAAACTAGACACAGGCAGATTTTCTTAGAGCCATTATGTTAGTCACATCTGATGTGACAGGGTCAACTCTGCAGATTAGAAGCATCTACAAGCCAGAAAAAAGAAAACCTTATATGCACCCAGATTATTTGGCTAGCTCATGAGTCTTTAGTCAATCTAAAGAATGGGTAGTATTCCCCCCCACCCCGCAAAAAAAGCCAGTCAAAGTCACATTGATATATCTGCTCTGAACTCAGTACTGCAAAACACAGTGGAGGAAAATCAGAAAAATATGGGAAGAATTGCCAACCTGATGGAATATAACACTGCCTGGAAAATTCAAAGTCCTTATCTAGGCTTATATGATACAGTCCCATCAGCCTTTCTGAACTCACTTTTTACTCCTCATTCCCTCTACTCTTTGTGTTCCAGCCAGACTGACCCCCTGGCCCTGCTGTGAGCACACAAGCCTGTTTTTGCCTCAGAGATGAATGTTCTTCCCAGACATTCCCATGCCCCATGCCCCACTCTCTCCTGCAAAAAGCCTCTGTTCCAGCATTCCCCAATCTAAAATACACTCCCCAGCACTGCTAGTTCCTACCTGCTTTATTTTAGTTTATAGAACTTATCACTACCTGAGATGATATTATAGATTTATTTGCTTATTCGTTAATTGTCTGCCACCTCTACTGGAGTGTACATTTCTTGGGGGGCAGAGGCATTGTTTTGTTTTCTTTACTTTTGTATCCCCAGTTCTGGTACATAATAGGTACCTAAGAATTATGTGTTGGATAATTGACAGATTGAATAAATGAATGAATGAATGATGAATGGGAAACAAAAAACAGGCTTATGTACATGCTGGCACACACATTCACATGAATAGACATAACACCATCAGGGCCTAAATGGCTTAGAAAAGAACTAAATAGCAAAGAGTGTATAGAGAAGAGAGCAATGCTAAGGATTGAGCCACCATCCTAGAGAATCTAAGAGCTTCTTTGAAGAAAGGGGCCCTGCCTTATTCCCCTCAGCACCCTGGACAGTGCCTGGCACAAGATGTGCTCAAGGAATACTGAATGGAATGACTCAATTCAGTTTCTCACAAAATATCCCTTCAGTATTGGTATTATATCACTAATATTACTACTTATAATAATGCTATCACTGTAATTATTATCATTTTTTCCTTCTCAAGGGTTTTTTGCCTTGTATTTCCTTCCATATTTAAAATTTTTTCCTTCTGCTTTACTCATTTAACACATTAATTGTACTCTCCCTCAGGAACTAGGCTAGGCACTGAGAATTAAGAGATGCTAAGATATTGTTACTGCTTTCAGATAACCTACCTTCTTATGAATAAGGTTTTTATTTGTCTTCAATTATTTCTCGATTCAAGACCAACTGACCGTTAGAACTTAAAACATATTTTTCCATAAATAACCAAAAACATCTCCCTTTTCCAGTTCTTTCCCCTGCAGTTTTTAATCTGATGTAATCCAGTGTTTTTATTGAGATTGCCTTCATCTTAATTAGCATATAGTAAATTAAGTTCCTCTTTCATTTTTAATAAAGCAATGAGAGCATATTAGTGTTTTAATGATAGAACTTTCTCCTCACACTTCATGAGTTTTATGCAGGCCTATGCCTATCTGTGACACATTTAATAAAATAATAGCATAATGCTGGCAAAAAGAAGGCAAATTAACATGTTTAATTAAAATCCTATGTCAGAAGTTATCCTTTGTAATTTAATATAACAGTATTATGCTGCTATACAAAGTATTTATTATACTCTTCTAGACCATGGGATTTCAATACATCAATACTTTTATAAACACTAAAACAACTGAAACCCATTAGCTTAGATAGCATTAATAATGTGGCAAAAGGAATTTGAGGCTGGGTATAAGACTCCCACATTCTAGTTTCTATACTGACACCATCAGAATGAATGTGGACAAGTAAGTCCCTCTCCTTCAACTTACATATATAGCTGTTCCTCAAACCCTATCATTTTTTGAATCTTTCTTCATTTTGTTTCTTCTTCTTTTCCCCATTGCTATTATTTTATTTCAAGCCCTATTGCCTGGACTTCTGCAGCAGCATACTACCTGACCTTCCCTGCCCCAGGCCATTTTCATTCAAATTCATCTTATATAAACCTAATTAAGTCCTTTCTGTATTCAAAAATTTCATCATTTCCCTCCGTTAAAAAAAAAAAAAAAAAAAACACCAAAATCTCTATACTATCCAGGGGACACAGATTAAATTCCTTAGTTAGGCCTTTATCAGTCTGGTACCAACTTTACCTTGTTGTCTAATCCAGGAGCCTACCACAGACACTATGCTATAACCATACTGAATTTTCTCTTCCATCTCAAATAATCCTATTCTTGTTCATGCCTCAGTGCATTTTAACAAACAGATCTCTCGGCCAGACATGGTGGCTCAGGCCTGTAATCCTAGCACTTCGAAGCTCAAGGCAGGCAGATCACCTGAGGTCAGGAGTTTGAGACCAGCCTGGCCAATATGGTGAAACCCTGTCTCTACTAAAAATACAAAAATTAGCTGGGCATGGTCGCATGTTCCCGTAGTCCCGGCTACTCGGAAGACTGAGGCAGGATAATTGCTTGAACCTGGGAAGTGGAGGTTGCAATGAGCAGAGATTATGCCATTACACTTAGCCTGGGCAACAGTGTGAGACTCCATCTCAAAAAACCAAATCAAAACAAAACCAAAAAAAAAAAAAAAAAACAGCAGGTGTCTCGACTTGGAATGCCCCTTCTCCATGCCAGCTGGAAAACTTCTTTTTCTTTTAGACTCAACTCAAATATGACTCTCCCTGAAGTCTTTCCATCTTTCATAGACACAATTAGCAACCAGTTCCTCTCTGTGCATACAGCACTTCGAGTGTATGTGTATGTATGTGTATTTACCACTATAATTATTATCACCTTTAACCACTCTCCCTGAAGGTAATAGCTAGGCACTTAGTATAGACTAGGTATCAACAACTGTTTATTGAAGGAATAAATGGGTGAATGACGACTTTGCAAAGTTTCCATTTTTAATCTATTGATTTGGAAGAACTATCATAAATTATCTTAAGTAATCTTTCCAGTTTTAACATCTTATGTCTATAGCAATTAGACACGTTGATTAAAATCAGATATGAGATGATTTTCATCTTACAAAGAAGAGAACTGCCTGTCTCAATGTCACAAGACTATTGTAGAGTATAGCAGTGAAATAAGTACATGTGAAAATACTTGGCAAAATAATACTGAAAAGAGATCTGATCTCACAGTAATGTTTTGAAAATTCAACAAAACACTGTATGTAAAATAGGTAATCTAATCTGTGACACATATTTAAACTCTCGATAAGTATTAACTTTTATTTAAAAATACCTGGCAGCTTTTTTGTGAATTCTACAAGAACCTGTACATGATTGGTTGCCATTTCCGTTAAAATGAGAAAATTTTCTTCTGCATTGAATTCTTCTTTTAACTAAATTTTAAGAAAAAAAACACAAATGATTAATAAGTAGATAAGAAAATGATAATATAAAACCATTAGACTAAAGAAAAACTAGGTTTAGATGCTAAAATTTGAAAACCCATCTTACTATTTCTTAGATCTTTGGAGAGCAATTACCATTATCAAGATAGATAGGAGACTTCTTACTCTTGAATTGTTTAATATTCCTAAGAGTTTAAAAGAATTCTCAGCTCTAATCATTTCAAAGTAACATATTCACATATAAATTGTATCTCCAAGGTAATAAGAGCTCCAGAAAATATTAACTTTAAGCCCACATATTTTCAGATATTATACATACAATTTTATTTGTTATTTCCTGAGGCATCCTCTGTTTGCTATATGAATCCATAATATAATGTAGAAGATTCTGTTGATCTGGGGTGAGTTCAGTTTTCTCCTACACTGGCAAGAAAATAAAAGGTGTTAGGGAAGGTGTGAATAAAGCCTTCTTTCTATATGTGCCTTCGTCAGGAGGGACCTAATAGCAGAAATTATTAAAAAAACAATCCATAAATACAGCAGCAAATATGAGCTGTAATATAGTATATAATTTCGTTCTCAGAATCCTCAGGCATGCCATATCACATTTCACTAAATTTTCCTATATGTAAAATAGTGATAATAAAATATTCCACTCGTATATTTCTTAGGAGTGGATATGAAGTCTACTGAGCTCATTTATGTTGAAAGTCACTTAAAGTTCAAGCTTTAATTATAACCAATGAAAGGTTCTCATATAGTATGACTACTATGGATACTACATTCATATAGTATTGTACATGAATTCCACCTGGAGAAGTCATCCAAGAGTATTCATGTAGAGAAGGGATCAACAAACTATAGCCCATGGACCAAATCTATTGGATTTTATAAAGTTTTATTGAAACACAGTTACACTTATTTGTTTGTATATCGTCTATGCTACTTTTGCACTAAAGTGACAGAGTTGAGTATTTGTAGAGACCATGTGGACTAAACCCTTTAAAGAAAAAAGTTTGTCAACCTCTAAAATAGAGAGTCAAGAATCTGGACAATTCAGACCCCAAACATCTCTTTCTCCCTCTACAGCATCTTTTGAAGAGTGTGAATAATTTTGTCAACTCTTTGCTTTCTTATACCAAAGTGTTGATAAATCACTATAGCAAATAATGCTTTTATATAAAATATTTTTCTTGAATAAATACGAAATTAGGTATTTGTAAAACTAAATATGGATAAAGTTTTCTTTGTCAATAATGTAATAAATATTGAGAAGGGTGTGGTTTGAACAATCATAGCTTATTGGTTTTTCAGCAAATAGCAGAATAAAATTCCATCAAATGTTCTGTGCATTATCACAATGTGTTTCTCTAAACATCTTGGAGGCTGTTCCCCTATTTTGTCCTAAGTTGCTCAATGGATTTCTTGAAAAATTTGTGACCTCACTGGGTAGGACTTTTCTCTACTGGTCCACAGATGTGTATTGTATTCATTCTGTTTTGGACATTTATAAGGACTAATCTCCAACCTCTACTGAGACCACATCCTTCCCAGTTTGAGCCTTTCTTCTCAAAGAGAGGGAAACAATGGTCATCAAAACTCAGTTGGAAAAAATCCATTTTACACACCAAATCATTCCTGCTGGAAAACATTAGGTAGTAAGACTGGAATGAAGTCAAAGAGAAGGAAAACTTTCACTTTTTAGTTTATGCACTGCTATTATTTGAACATTTACATCAAAGCATGTATTAGGAATCTATTTTAATGAACAATTGGACCAGAAGTTTTGCTGTGCCTGTGGCTTTAATTTGAAAGCCTCCTGGCCAGCTCACTATGTACCTAGAAACTCAGTTCCTGCCAGTCTTGGCAGACACCATTGCATATTATTACCCTGCATGACTTTGTTGTTGAGGTCACTTGTCGTAAGTCACGACCTTCACTGTCTTCATTCGTGGTCTGATCTGCATGCTGCTTTACATTTTTTCTCAGTCGTTTAGATTTACACTGAATTTCAGTTAACAAGCCTAAAAAAATAAGCACAGAGACTTCACCAATCACAGAAAGTACTATTGGGTGTGTGGTCATAAAACCACTGATATTACCTGGCCCAGAAGATCCCCTATGCAATGCATAGAATCAACTCTAGCCCTTCATGCATTTTAAAAAGAGAAGGTCACGGTTTGAAACTTAACCTTGAACAAGTAGTTTAACCTCTGTGAGTCTCAGTTTCCTCATGTGTAAAATGAGAATAGTATCTACCTCATAGAGTTTTGTGTAGATTAAATGCAATCAGATCATGTTTTTAAATGGGCTTTATATAAAGAACTTATGATATGAAAGCATTGTGCAAATGCAAGGTATTCAGTCAATGAATAGGTGAATGACACTCTCCCTGTTCCTGCTCTAGGGAACCTTCAAAGTTTGTGTTTTAAAACATCCCATTAATATTATTTTCAGCCATGTTTATATACTGTACCACAAGAAGGATATTGAATTTCACATTAAACACACATAAACTTATTGAGAAAAACAAATGTTAACATCCTTTAGGGAAAATATTTAAATCCTGTTAATTTTCAGAACAGTGCCAATTCTTGAGAATATAGTTAAAAATAAAAATAATGCAAGTTGACTTTAAAAAATGTCTTTGAATGATTATACAATCAACCTCATTGATTTACAGTTAAAGAGAGCTATAAAAAATAATGTAAAACAATCTTCCCTTCATCCCATTTCATGTCCTTACTCTTCTCTCAATGCCAATAAAACTAAGTTCCAGGAATTTCTTTGTACAGGGAATTTATTTTATAGAACCATAAAATATCTGCATCAGTTACTGTACAAGTTTGCGTCTGTAAATATAGACTGCTACATGTGGCTTCATGCAAAATGTTGTCAGAGCTCCAGTTGGAACAAGTTCATATTTAAGTGATAAGCAATATGAGCTGTGTAGGGTCAGAGTAAGTGTTTCCATTGCAAGATTGGATTCCAGCAGCAGCCCCTATTGCAGGCTCTTGTTTCATGTATGCTAAGATGAGATTGTGATCAGCTACTATAAAACTTTCATCCACCCAGAGCTGGATTATTTACACAGACCTATTTTCCCCCCACCTGGACGCATTATTTCCCTGGGTCCATCCCAGTTGCCGGTACAATTTGGTAACAATAGAATTGGAGTCACCTTCTGAAGGCTTTTATTTCATGTGGCATTCCCTGCCTGAATGCTGTCATCCCCTTGGTGACATTTGTTTGTCTATCTGTGTTTTGAGGAGAAACAGGACATATCTCAGAATCTGAGTGGTCTGTAGAATTTTTGCAGAATGAAAAATTAATTATGTTATATACTCGCATGCATTCCAATTTTTGATGAAGATTACAGTTCCTCACAAAGCCAGCAGTTAATACAGTGTCTCGTTATCAGATAGAAGGACAAAATTATATTAAAACTGGGAGTAGTTAATTTCCGGTGTAAACCTATACAAATTGGTTCAAAGCTGCACTAAGACAGATTCTTAATAAAATGACTTGGTTTAAAACTCTATTTAGACAATTCAGATGCAGTTATACCTTATAAAGCATTCTTATTTTTTTCCACAGCAGTGACTTTGTATGCTAATTAAGCAATAAATAATAAGTATATTAAAATCAAATCTAGAGGAAATATTTAGACTGTCATTCTTTGTAGCTCATTAAAGCACGTTATTTTAACAGTATGTTAATGCCACTGGGGTCCAAGTATAGTTCACTGCAACAAAGAACAATAACAAAAAAAAACAGGCATTTATTTTGGGTGACTAAAATGCTCTTTAGTTGACAGTTCAGACAATTTCAGTGGTTCATTACCCTTTTCAAGAACTTGGATGGTTTAGTAGATTCCTTCTTTAATATGTGAAGTAGCACTCTCGTGATGAGTTACCTGACATCTGCCTCCTTAAGAGATTTTTAGTGAAATGTAATTGCTTGAAGTGGATACCTGTATACATACATTCAGCCAACATTCCCATCTCTTTGCATTTCCTTAGTCGACACTCTTGACACTTTCTTCGCATGTACATATCCATCACGCAGTTGCCCCCATTTTTACACTTGTACACAGCATTTTTGGTAATGCTTCTCCTGAAGAAACCTGTGGAGAAAACACTGAAAAGTTTAAAAAGTCCTCTTATAGCTTCTCAGGAAAAAAAGCACATTTGGATTGGGAGATGCCAGGACATTTTCTCATGAACTGCTAAAGAGCACCCAGGCCGTCCTTGAGCATACCAGTGACAAATATTTTATACGACACTGTGTTGTCAAGAAGGCTGCTGTTTTTAATTTCTCTCTCAGAAATAAAGACAAGTTTGAATTATAGCCTCTCTTTAAAAAAAATATGAATTTGTTTTCTAAGATAAATTGCTTTCATAGATCTTTATTGGGGGATAATTCTATGCCAATGACTACTAAGTGTTGACAGTACAAAGGCAAACAAGACTTTAAAGCCTGGCTGAGGACAAAGACACACAAACAGCTAAACAAGTGAAATTACATGTTGCATGGGCTCTAAAAGCTGCACTGCAGCAAGGCAAACACACAGACTCCTCTTTGGGGTGAAGAGGTCAGGATAGGAAGTGAGCATTGAGCTAAGTTTTGGAAAGTGAGTTGCTATTAACCAGGCATTCAGGGAGAAGATTGCATTCAAGGTTTCAATTCAGTACTTAATATGCCATCCTGGCCTAATAAAAAAAGATGCCAACCTTGAGCTAAAAGCAAACATCTCCCCTGAGAAGGCATAGCAGCCTGTTAACAGGTAAGATGCCTAGAGTGAAGGAGGGAGGTAACCGGCTTCAGCTCTGCTTCTGCATTTCCCCAATTTCTGACTAACCATAGCTCCTGACACTTTCAGAGTTGAGGAGGCAGTGTTGAATATTGGGAGGATTGTGAGAGGTAAGAGAAGAAATGACAGTAAGGCACTTACTTGTGTAGTATTGCTATAAACTGGTTTGTGCATGGCAGGTTTTCAAAGCTGACTCTTTCTCCATTGAGTTGGGTCCTTTAGAACTTTTTTTTTTTTTTTTTTTTGAGACAGAGTCTTTCTCTGTCACCCATGCTGGAGTGCAGTGGCACAATCTTGGCTCATGCAACTTCCACCTCCCAGGTTCAAGTGATATTCTTGCCTCAGCTTCTGGAGCAGCTGGGATGACAGGCGCCACCCACCACACCTGGCTAATTTTTGTATTTTTAGTGGAGACGGGGTTTCACCATGTTGGCCAGGCTCGTCTCAAACGATATACCCACCTCAGCCTCCCACAGTACTGGGATTACAGGTGTGAGCCACCGCACCTGGCCTCATCTGAACTTTTTTAATGAGGGCAAATACATCTCTATTCTAGCCTATGGTATGTGGTCCCCTTCAGCATCTAGTAATTTGACGATTCACTCCACAGTTTTTACACTGAGGTCACTCCATGTGGTTCTTTTGACATGGACCTATGACAACCCCATAATGGCTTTCTCTGATCTAACAATCTCTGTGGAGCAGAGAAATCTCTCCCACTTATCCACAAGCAGTCAGCCACCTGGCTTTCTGCCTTTCAACTTCTCAGGTGAAAATCAGACACAAAATCCCCATGTCTGTCAGCTTCAGGGGATACATGCCAACCTACTCAAGTGATAGTCCTGAAGACTCTTTCATTGGGCTTGGGGTTAGAGGACCTCCTTTAGTATATATTTTGGAAGCAAGAGGAAAAACCATTTTCCAATTCTTACAAAGTTACTACACGTTCCAGTGGTGGCCTGAGGGAAAGACATTCCCACTTCCAACACTCTCCGTTGCAGTATGGATGTAAGATTCACACAGCACACTAGTCACATGCTCCAAAATCTTTACAAGACCTCTCTATAATTTCCAACTCCTGATCTCTTCATTCCCTCAAAATAAGTGAGATGTTTAACTGGTTCTTGAATATTGAATATCTACTGTGAAATTTCTGCCAGATGGGCTCACCTTGGAAGGTAGCCTCTAGTGTCTTCATGCCTCTGTCAAAATTGAGACAAGTCCTTCCTATTTTAACAGACTGTTGGAATAATATCTAATATTTATTAAGCACTTAGTAGCTATTGTTTGAACTACTTTACCTTCATTTACTGATTTAATTCTCATATCAATTTTATGATGAAGATAGCATTATTTGTTCCCATATTATAGATGAAGAAAAAAAGATACAGAGAGTTTAAGTACCTTGGCCATGATCACATGGTTAGTAGTCGGCTAGGAAGGTTCAAATGCAGGCAGTTGTGCACTAAAGCCTGTACTCTTAACTACTACATTACAATTGCCACCCTTGGATCACAAAAGAGTAAAATAACTTACTGTTAAGTGCCAACTACCTGAAAGCTGCATTCTCTGACCTGGGAAATACCAAGATGAATAAGACATTCCTTGTCTTTACAGTTGCATACTTAATTAGAATAAACAGAATTAAATTTACAGCATAATACAAAATATGAGCGGTAAGATAGTCAAACAAATAATAAATTATTGGAATGTAGAAGCAGGTCCACACCATGTCCCTGTAAAGATTGTGCCACATTTGAGGAGGAGAGGCAGCAATTGCATTGCACCCATGTAGAGTTGCATATTTCTTATGACAATTTTCCCACAGAGGACACTTAAAAATTGTTCTAATGAGGTAAGTATAATATGATGATTTCCTAACTGCTAGAAGTCAAGTACATTGTACAGACTGGGAGTGATCCTGATTAATTCAGAGTAGCCAGACAGAATCAGGGAAGGGTCTGTGAAGGAAATAGAATTAGATCTGGGCCTTAAAGAATAAGTAAGGTTTTAGAAACATAGCCCATGAGAGAAGAAAGACATTCAGAAAAATGAGCAAACACGGGTGTTATGAAAATTCCAAAAAAGGGTACATACTCCATCTTGGTGGTGGTAGAGTAGAGTATGGAGAGAAGTAGAGGGAGATGGTAAGCAGTTGCAGTAAGAGCAGAATGTGAGTAAGTGTCCTTGAATGCAAGGCAAAGAAGTTGAGTCTTTACCATGTTGAAAGACAGATGCCATTAAGGCTTTGACAGGGGAGAGTATGACCCAACCTGCATGTTGGGAAGCTCCTCGGAGCAAGGTGAAGAAAGGTGGAATGGGTATTAGAGACTAAAGACAGGAGACTATTGCCATAATACAACTGAGAGGCAACCAATGCCTGAACTGAAGTGGGATAGAATAGAAAGCAGGAAACAGAGAGAACATCAGGTTTCGTAACTCCTGAAATATAAATACAGAGGCTTAAGGAAAAGTTAGAGCTGTCAAGGTTAAGAAAGTCATGGACTTGCTTGTGAATTTACAGCTGGTGTAAATTTCAGTAGGAAAGATCTTAACATTTTCCTAAATGTCAAATCCAACCAAATAAAGTCTAAAAAAAGACTTTGTGCTACAGGTAAGTGTTGATATTGAGAGAGCAAATACCAAAACGTGCATTTTAAAAAACTAAAAGCAAAAAGAGGACTTTTTTTTCCTGATACCAAATGATGACCTCAATGTCCACTTGAGCCTACGTGAGTCAGTCTTCCTACTAATAATCTTCTGCCCTTACCAGGAACGATTTCCTTTAAAACTGTCATAGATACTGACAGACAGCTTAATAGTTAACAGAATAAAACTCTTTTTTCCAAGATGAGTCAAAGGAATGGTGCGTACAACCATTCTGCAGGGTTTTTTGACTCTGGTATTAACTGAAAAAGAAATCATTATCATCTCAATAGCTGAATTAATTAGCTTTCACTCTGAGATAGCAACACAATATTATCATTATATCATTTAAATATGGGTACATATACTGTATTTATACTTATGCAAATCTGTCCATACACATACCTCTGCCTCTGTCTTGCTCTTTCTTGTGCATATTCAACAATGCTCATATCAGAAAAGTCATTTGAAAATGAATGGAAAGGAAATTCACTGGGGAACAGAGACTTGCTGGTAATACAGGATGAGTACTGCCATCTGGGGAATGTGTAGCACCGGTGGGATCCCTGGGGTAGAAAGCAAATAGCTAGAGGATGGTATTTCTACATGCATTACTCAATTCTGCAGAATATTGTACACTCTGCTTTTCTCTTCTTCTTTTTTTTTTTTTTTTTTCTGAGATGAAGTCTCGCTCTGTCACCCAGGCTGAAGTGCAGTGGTACAATCTCAGCTCACTGGGTTCAAGCAATTCTTGTGCTTCTTTATACAGGTGGAAGCCACATACCACACCTACTCTCAAGTCATACACATATGTGTACATACACATCCACACACCAGACTCCAGTGACTGATTCTGGTAGCCACTGATACAAGACCACCCATTACTTCGCAATCAATAAAATACTGAATGATGTTATCAAATTTTAAGGGCCTACAAGCTTTTAAAATAGCAGCAAACACACATAGGTGAGTAGCTAGAGATCTTTCCATACAAGATGATCTAAAGAGAAATAGTTTCTAGGTCTGTCTCCACTTATATAGCACTTATTTTGTGCCAGACACTGTTCTAAAATGGTAAATGGTAATTCATTTCCTATTCATAACAATCCAAGGAGGCAGATACTATTATTATCTCTTTCTTACCAAAGAGGAGACTGAGTTACAAAGAGGTTAATTTGCTTAAGGTCCTGCAGAGAGCGAATGGTAGGGTTCAGATTTGAACCTTGATGGGCTCACATTCTGTGCTCTTTTTATTTTTTATTTTTTTAGACAAGGTCTTGCTCTGTCGCCCAGGGTGGAATGCATAGTGCAATCGTAACTCACTGCAGCCTGAAACTCCTGAGCTCAAGCGATCTTCTCATCTCAGCCTCCTGAGTAGCTGGGACTATGGGTGCACAACACTATGCCCAGCTATTAATAATTTTTAAATGTTTTGTAGACACTGGGTCTCACTCTCTTGCCCAGACTCATCTCAAACTCCTGGTCTCAAGCAATCCTCCTGTCTCAGCCTCCCAAAGTGTTGGGATTAAAGGCATGAGCCAAACCATGTCCAGCTTACTCTGTGCTCGTAACCACTATCTTATCCTGTCTTTTTAGTAGGAAGTTTACATTTAAAAAAAATTTTCTTGAGACATAAATCTCCCTATGTTTCACACAGCATGGCAAGTGCCCAGCTCACAACAGAATTCCCCAATTTGAGTTCATAAATGAGTGTTTTGCAATAATTGTAGGAACATTAAGATGAAATAATAGTGGATAAAGGTATTTATGTGTGTTTTGTTCCTGTTCCTAATGCTTTTTCATTTTCTTTTCCATCCCAAGAGGGCAGAAACTCTTATTCACTTGCTGGGACAAAAGCTGCAATTTTTCTGTCTCTAAATAAAGACAACTCTCACATAGGATTTTTGTTTTCAACCTCTAATTTAAAATGTTATATTGGATCATCTCAAAGATATTGGAGGTGGAGATCAATGCTTGTAGAATTTAGGGAACCAGAAGCTTGACTAGAAAGGGGTTTGGAGAACTTTCCCAGAGCCTGGGAATGGGATGTGTCTGATAGGTTCTGTGAATATTGAACCAGCACTAATAAAGAGCCTTTAGAGGGGTGACAGATACAGCTCTGAGATGAAGACCAGGAAGATCATGAAAATCATGGCCTGAAAACCCTGGGATGAGATGTCCATGCTGGACTGTGGCTAATTTCACTTTCAAGGGATCAATTCAAAGTTGATCAGCTATTATCATTATATCATTTAAATATGGGTACATACATATGCTGTATTTATACTTAGGCAACTTAAGTTGTTCACTTTCAAGGGATCAATTCAAAGTTGGACACAATCCTGAGGTGTGTGCATGACCCTGGAGGAAGGAGTATTCTCAAATATAGACCAAATGAATTTCACATCAGCTGGGAGAGTTATGAGCTTAGAAGAAATTAAATTTGATTTAGAGAAATAGAGGAATATAACATGTCTTACACCCACTCCTACCAGTTCAAATCACAGAGGATTTCTGAAGGGTTATGCATAATGCAAATAGAAGACATAGCGGTGACTACCTAAAGAACTAACTGAAAATGAACTAAATGGAAATGAAAATACAATTTATCAAAATTTATGGGATGTGTCAAAAGCAGTGTTTACAGAGAAATTTATAGCATTAAAATGCATATATTGATTAAGATCTAAAATCAATAATCTAAACTTTCACTTTAGGAAACTAGAAAAGAAAAAATTAAATCCAAAATAATCAAAAAAATGGTAAAAACTATAGCAGAGATCAATGAAATTGAAAACAGGAAAATGACAGAGAAAGGCCAAAAGCCTGGTTCTTTAAATAGATCAATAAAAATTAATAGATTCAATAAAATATATCTGTAAAAGTAATAAATCTCCAGCAAGACTAATCAAGAAAAGAGAGAGAGAGGGAGAAGGCACAAATTACCAATACCAGAAATGAAGGAGAGGCCCGTTGTTACTAATCCCATGGACATTGAAAGGAATATAGGGCCAGGCGTGGTGGCTCACACCTGTAATCCCAGCACTTTGGGAAGCTGAGGTGGGCAAATCATGCGGTCAGGAGATCAAGACATACTGGTCAACATGGTGAAACCCCATATCTATCTACTCAAATACAAAAAATTAGCCATATGTAGTGGCATGCACCTATAGTCCCAGCTACTTGGGAGGCTGAGGCAGGGGAATCATTTGAACCTGGGAG